TGTCCTTCAATTACATTTTTCTGCGTATCATAAAACGAATGTTTCGCATAACTCAAAGAAATGAACAATCTCATACCGTTCTCTTCCCGTCCAGACTACAAGTTCCTGGGCATCATGAAGCGACAGTTCCCCGAGACGCCCATCCTGGGTCTGACCGCCACGGCCACCACCAAAGTCCTGGAGGACGTCAAGACCATCCTCAACATCCCCCACGCCCTGTTGTTCCGAGCGTCCTTCAACCGCCCAAACTTGTTCTACCAGGTTTGGCCGCGGAGATTTTGGCTTCGTTTGTTGCCGGGTCTATTTTGTCATCACGTATTATACTGTATTACTTCTTCGTTGTTTCAGAAATTTTCATTTAAAATCGTGACGTCATTTGGTCGCTTTTAAGGACAAGCGGGCTAACCCAGATTTCGGGGGTTTCCAAAAATTTTGTCCTACACCAAAAGTGGGCATTGCCCAAGCTTTAGAAGTTTGGTTTCATTGGTGTGTTTATTTGTTTGGTTATAGAGAAAACTCTCCTTGTCTTTTTAAAGAAACTGAACTAGGGGCAAAAACTTTACCTTTAATTTTTCTTGGGGGGGGAGGGGGGAGGGAGACAGCAAATCGAGCCCTGTTATAGCCAGGTTCATATTACTTACACTTATAGAGAAAAAAAAACCCCCGCGGATTTGATTTATCACTGTTATATCCCAGTTCCTGTAATAACAGAGGCTGTTATAAATGGACTGGACTGCATTTACAACACTGTTTTATTTTTCCTGATTTCTGTGGTTTATTTATAACATTTTATTGAGTGGGGTTTTTTTTTTACTGATCTCTGGTTTATTGGTAAAATTTTCTTGGGTGTTTTTTATGGGTTTTTAAAAAAAATTGATCTCTGTGGTTAATTATAACATTTTGGTTTTTATTTTTAATAATCCTGTTATTTATAACACTTAAGGCTTTTTTTTTACTGATCTCTTTGGTTTATTTATAACATTTTGTTTTTTGTTTTTGGCTCCTCAGGTTTTGCCCAAGCCAAGTTCTCAGAAGGAAACGATGGAGAAAATTCTGCTGCTCATCTCTACCCGATTTAGAGGCATGTCTGGTAAGGGAGACAACTGGTGTGATAATGTAAGGGGGACAAGTGGTGTGATAATGTAAGGGAGACAAGTGGTGTGATAATGTAAGGGAGACAAGTGGTGTGATGGTTATTGTGAGAATGTAAGGGGGACAAGTGGTGTGATAATGTAAGGGAGACAAGTGGTGTGATAATGTAAGGGAGACAAGTGGTGTGATGGTTATTGTGAGAATGTAAGGGA